AATATGTGGCAACATTATATATATACATGATCACAAACAAGAACACTTGAAAGCTGACTGAACCATGGACCTAGAAGATATAAACGTGTAGCAAACACTTCAAAGAACAATACAGCCGGGGTGGCCATTTCCAAGCCCCGAGATCAATGTACCATCGGAATGATAATCGATCGATGATCGATCGATAATCGATCATGATATATGATAAGATCACAGACACAGACTAGGCCTTCTATACTGCAATCAAACTAAAATCACATAAACATTGAATAATATGGAGACCAACATGAAAAAAATCGGGCTTACGCATCAAACAACGCTAAACACTAAGCACAGTCAAAGTACACTGGCGTAAGGATCAACGAACGTCACATCGAAAAGCAGAATAGTCGCGGTCGTGAGGAACCTTATCTGTAAGGTCCACAAACATTCATAGGGTCAGTTCATAATGAAAATATGCGTCATAAATACGACTCATTCCGATAGCATTCTGTTTAACTTTCGCATAGGAGCTGCAATACATAACAGACTTCAACGTTCCAGTCACTACGGATTTTCTTCATCCTCCACCAAAGTCCGCTTCGCCCAAAACACGTAGAACAAAATGACTAGCGATTACGACATAGACCATTAAGTTTCGAGTCCCATCAGTCGAATTTTCACATAAGCAGCCCGGGTAGCCTTTCCGAATGCTCGACTAGAACGAGTTGAAGATATCCTTGTGGCTGAGAGGCGGCGGCGCCGGAGCTGGGGTGAGGTCAGTCAGCAGGTCACCAGAGGGGGTCTCCTGTCGAGCCAGATCGAGTAGGTCTTGACCCACCTCCTCGGGTTCCTCTTCGTCTACGCCGTCCTGCTGTAAGTGGGAAGGAGGGAAACAGGGGGTATAAGTGTGTTAGTAACTAACTGAATGAGAGAGAAACAGGCAAAGGCGTACTTAGAAGAGATACATTTAACTACAAAGTAAGCAAAATAAGTAAAGTAAATGACACCGTGTGTCAACAGCAAATAGCAAAATAAATGAATAAGGAAGTGAGTAGATTAGTCGCCAAAAGAGCGAGAGAATAGGATGAGAGCGAGAGAGAACCAGATCGATAGAAAAAAGAGATACACTATCTAACTACAACTTTCGTACTGGAAAGCAGAATGGCATCGAAATGGCACGTACTTGAAACGCATACTGTCCGTACTGGAAAATGACCGGGAGAGATAGTGATGGTACTTACTTGGAACGCGTACTCTCCGTACTGGAACGCGGACTGGGAGAGGTCCACCTCTATGGGGAAGTACTGGTGCTCCTTCATCAAGTCGTAACACTGCTGGTGATATCTCGCCAGACCGGTGATAAGACGCTGCGAAAGAAAAAAAAAGTGGTTTTCGTCAAGCTATACATATACCTACTCCGTTGGCGAAAAAAAAAAAAACGCAGCATTGGAAAACATTATTGGTGCAAGGGTTCACGATCACATTTCCAGCTGTATGATCCACCGGGTCAACATTACAACCACTGAACGGGAGCTTTTGGTAAAATCGGTACCAGTGACTGTAGGTCCCACTGGACTTCGCCTATTGAAAACTTGTTCCAGTCTCGTTGATCAGCTGAGTCCAAAGGCTCTCCCCACCCGCAGCTACATGGACTCTCTACTAACCCTCAACTATTTCCGTCTGATCATGAGCGCTACCAATGTGCCTCAAAATGTGCCTTAATAAACCCTTAAATTCACCTCAATGTGCCTCAATGTGTCTCAAATTCACCACTCAGCTGCCGAGCTTGCGCTCACCTGCAGTTGGAACACGATATCCTGTACGTGTTTCTGGTCCAGAAGCTCCAACTTCACCAGCACGTCCGACCGAAGGCGCGCGAATCTGACGGCACACGGCGGCAATGTCCATCACACTGATCAACAGGCAATTAAAGATATTTTTGGAAAGTAGCTTTGGATGCACGTTTTCTAATAATTCTAAAATGATTATGAAAATATGCTATTACAGGCAAAATTGTTGCCATTTTTAACCCTCGCCCGCACATGGGGGGGGGTTGCCCCCCCCCCCCCCAGGTAGTCTTTCTGCTCTGCACTCAACATTTTCAAAGCTAGAAGCCTGATTTTTCGTATAGCTGCTCCTCTATCCTTTCTTGATGTCCACTGAAAATTTCAAGTCTCTGTGTTTTTTGGTTTCGGAGATATGACCTTGTTTTTCAGGTCATATCATGACCCTAATGACCAATTCTCAATATCTTGCGTTGGCTAGGGGCCTTGTGAGCTTTTGACACCTTGATTTCGGTCTTTTTTGCCAGTCTTACCTCCCAGCTATCATGGAACATGTTGTTCGACGATGTACAGATGTCAAGGTCAGGGTCAAGGTCAACCTAGGTCATCTAGAATAATTGCGTTTTAAGCAAGCTGAATTTACTTTTCGTGAAGTTTTTTGACTGCATTTTTGGTAAAAGCTTCTCAGATCATGATTTCATGTAATTGGACACATAAACAATCGGTGCACACATCAGCATACACACAGACACACACACAGACATACAAACACATATCATTGACATTGACCTAACTTCACCTGAAATGACCTCAGCAGCAAAAACCTGGTCGGGTAGTGTAACAAAGAGGTTCTAGCTGGCTTGGCACCAGAAAACGGCATCGTCATCGGTATATGATAAGCAGCGCACTTGATATCCAACGGTGACCCAAAACAGCAACATTTGTTAGTTTGACCTGACCTGGAAGGTCAATGACTGACCTGAGAAGGTAAAACTGGGTATCATTGGATTCGTCTCTTCCCAAAGAATCTTTTTGGTCTTTACTGCGAAGCTTTAGCTCCAACAGGAACGAAATGGCGCGAGGGGTGGCAACCCCCCCCCCCCCCATGTGCGTTCTAGGATGGGAAAATGGCATGTGCGGGCGAGGGTTAACAATGCTCTGACGGTTAGGACAAGCAAACTGCGAGCCGAGCCGCCAGTAATAAAAACATGAAGCTTTATATGATCTTCTCCAACCCGATATGATCACCTACTCGACACATTCCTAAGCCATGCATGAGATGCTCATTGACATCAATACAACACAACACAATGCAATACAATACAATACGATACAATACAATACATATACAATAAAATCCAATACGTACCTGGCTCGTCCTTGCTGTCGGCAGCGCAGTATCAGTCGGTACTCGTAGTTCCCCGTTTCCAGTCTGTACAGGGGCTCCTGGAGAGCGGCGTAGCTGTACTCTTCATCATCCATCTCCTGGTGGGGGAGTCAATGGGAGAAAGGTCAATGGGAGCAAGGTCCACGACAGATTAAAGGTCCATGACAATGAGTCATGAGGAATGAAGGTCAACAAGTGGATAAAAATCACCGAGGCATGCCAGTCATATGGAAATACAGATCAACGATCAACCGTGCTGTCAAATGTCATGAGAGAAAATATGAACTGTCAGACACCCCGAGGTTATGAAAGTCAAATAGGAAGAAATGTGAGCGGTGGACCGTGTTGGGTAGCACGTGACATTTCCATTTTGAGCAAGCATCCGACTTTTAGAGGAGTACCCAAGTATGGTACAAGTATGGTATGAACGATGGAAGCAAGACGATAGTATATAGCTCGGCATGACCAATGAGTGACTATGCTATAATCATCAACTTCTCAGCTGGTATCGGATCGCTAAATGCAACCTCTGGTCGTTTGCATTATGAAATATTCCGTGGCCGACGGATAGCTTACATAATATCACCGGTATATTACGCAAAAACACAAAAACGCGCTATAACGCATTAGTTACACCTCATATCATTCCACATACCTTGACTTTGAGGCAGTAGCTGAGGTACTCAAACTTAACGTCCAGGTACTTTTTGATGGTCAGTTTGGTGTCTGGGATCGCTTTGTGTAGATACGTTCCCAGATCGGACAGAATCTGCAGAAAATAGGCAACCGGTCAGAAACTCAGAAAAGCCATGGTGGCAAACGTCCGGTGACCCATCATCAGTCTTCTTTATTTGAGATTCACTTCGAGTGTAGGCATTACTCGAAATGTTGAAAAAGCAAAAAGGTGTTTCCCTTTCCTATGTTCGACACTAATACAATATCTTGGGTAGTGCGTGTATACAGTTGACACTACCAAAAAAAATTTGCCGATTATCTGCAAGCAATGCCTGATTTCCACATCCCGTGAGAGAAAAGATAGATGAGAGGAGGGCTAAGCACGCTGGGATGAACTGTCTACACGACCGGCCACATTTCAAGATAATATTAAAAATGTGGCTCATGATCAACGTTCCATCACCCCTCACCCAGTTGTAACACCCACCGGTTTGAGAGTCCTCAGCAGCCTGACGCCGTTCTTTTCCATCGTGCGGTGGGCGTCCCCGAAACTGGTGAACACCTCGCTGGCCCGCGGCTGGGGCTCCCGAGCACCGATCACGGAGAAAGTGTCACCGAACGCTGCCAATGATGGGTGAGCGATGTTGGGTTATTTCAATAACTACTTCAAACGGTAAGTTGGGGACATTGATGATTTCGGGCCTCGGGGTCCAGGACAACCAGACTGTGGGCGGTCATCGGCACCCTTTTTTTGGGAAGATTACAGCAACCACTAAGAACATCATGCGTCTTAGAGTGCGGCCAAATAAAATCAATAAAAGTAAGTGGGGAACCCCTTAATTAACCACTTTAATCCCTATCACGAACAAATCTTAAAACATTTAGGTACATTTTGTAGCCTCCGAAATCAAAGAAATATATTCAGCGTGTAGATGTACAAATGTCAACTTTCAATAATCCACTAAACCAACTTCGTAAAAAAGAAGCTGACATGAGAAACACGAATACAAGTGCCCACATTCATCGCCCACTGTCCACCATTTAACGCCCACTCTCTCGCATTCACCGTTCATCACCCTGACTGTCCCATGTGACCTACCTTTGTGGACGCGACTGAGCTCAAAGAAGGCCTTGAGCACCTTCTTCAGGTGCTCCACCACGCCGTGGTACATGTTTTCCGTCCTTTCCAGCTCCTCCAGACGTTTTACCTGTTGGTCAGCGCATAAGTCAGTAGAAGCGGACTGTAGTGACCCAAACCCAGGAGGATGGTTGGAACAGTCGGACAGCACGATGCTTTAGTGTCAAAAATGATGGTGGCAATGAGAACCTGGGTTTTAGGCTGCACGTCACGGCCTTTAGATGTCACCAACGGTCGCAAAATTCTTTATACCGACAGATGTTTATATCGACAGATGAGCGTTCTTATTACAGCGAATCACCTTGTAGCTCGAGCTAAATCCAGACAAATGAGGACGATCACCCATCGGCCATTGCCATTGAGGAAGTGAGCAGTCAGCATTCTAGCATTAACCGAACAGTGAGCGCTCTGGGAACGATTGATTCGCCCCCACCAATGAATGACACTCTCAATCAGATACCCGTTCCCACAGTGAGACCCACATTAACCCCCCCCCCCCCCCTCCTATCGGTGACCCCCACATACCAGCGAATCGTTACACAGAATAGCCCGGGAGAGTCCGAGCGCGTCCGCCGTGCTAGCGCTCATCTTCTCCACCAGTCTGTGTTTGACGCTCTTTAGCACAATGTCCAGTGTTCTGCCCTGGCGTGGGTCGGCGTGCAGCTTGTTGTATGTGATGGTGACGTCACCCTGAAAAAACGGGTAGGTGTGACGTCATTATGGTAAGTTGGGGGTCGGGCTTGTGAGAGAACTGACAAGTGGCAAAACAGATCAGAAACAGGTTGGAAAACTGATTGCAGAATCGATCGGTATCGTATTTTGCGATCGATACCTTATCAAGCCTGATTATGACACACTAACGAAGTTTTGTAAATACAATTCGAAAGCTCCGACCCGAACGATTTCAAGTGGCGAATAGTGTCTAGTTCTAATCTAAATAACCTGACCTTATTGCATTGCGTAAGCTCCTCACCGTTCCAGACTGTATGAGCTTAGCGACCTCGACTTTGGTCCTGCCTTTGACAGAGGTGCTGTCCACCTTGACGATTTCATCTCCCGACTGGAGTGTTCCGTCCCGGCCCGCCGGGGTGTTGTCAAATACCTGTTAGGTGGAGAGTGGGGTACTCGTTACAACAGCACAGCAAGAGCATGCGAACGTCGCCTACTGATGATAGAATAACCCTATTTTCAAGACGATAAATTACTTCGTTTGCAATGATGCCAGCGTTTGGTTACGGGCTCTATAGCATCGTATGGATTAAAAACATTTTACAAGTGGATAACATTCAAACACAGTTCGGCATAGATTGTGCTGATTCAGGGCAGGGCAGGGAAGGAAACAGCAGAAGACAGTGCAGAACTGAGAACACGACAGATGATCACATTATGGGGAAGGGTAATACAGAGGGTAAATCATCGCTCGGTCGAAAGCTGTATGACATAATTGCATCGAAGCTGAGGAATTCACCATCAAGTAGCTATTCTTAGCATCATCGCTATCGCATCACAGGTATGACAAGGCATCATATCCATGTTTCCATACCTGTACGACGTAGAGACAGGGGCAGAGCGGGGCACCGCCGCCAATGCTGATTCCTATCAGGTTCTTCTCATCTTTGGATAGGGTGACGCTTCCCGTGGTGAGCGTCATCCCCCTGGAAAACATGGACAAAGTGTGAGGAGGTGGCTATAGTAAGCCACAGCCTGTTGGTGTTATGCACCAATACACAAGTGAGCACATATGCAAGTGAGTGGAAATCAGAGCATGCAAGTGTTTTGTGAATAACGAGATCGAACACAGAAGTAGGTAGGTACTACGTCTGCCAAAATACACGAAATAGCAGCATACACGCAGTTATCGCTTCAGTAGCCTTGTTAATCCGCGCTGTTCTAAACGTCGGCGTTCTTTCATCACGGCGTTCAAAGTCACTGCCGACGTACTTATAAACGTCACACCGAAACCCACCTGCGGTCCTCGCCCTCCACACTCCACGTTCTCGTCTTTTGACTCGTGTACAAAATGTGTCCGTTATACATGGCCGGGGTTAGTTCCCTCAGCGCTACTCGCATATGTTACGGAAAGGCACACAGGCTCTGACTGTGTGTCAAATAGGAACCAGACAGGTAGTAGCTCCAATCGCGCCTCGGTCAATATACGTCGAACTAAAAGTCGTACAGAATGCGCATCATCTACACTTGGCAATGTAAATATTTGAATCGGCAGCATCTTTCAAATCGGTAGCTTTCCAGCACATCTTTGGTTGCCACGTATCACAGTGAAGCCCCTCTCAGCTTCTTCTAGTAAACATAAAAAACGGATTACTACCCAACAACGGAAAACACCTATCACAGCATCTGCAATTAACACGTCAGCCTCAGCCCTCAGTTCACTTTAGTTCACAGTTTCACTTCACAGCTGCAAGCTAGCGCATATCGGCAACGTCCATAATTCGTAAAAACCGTCTACACTCCGACGCGACACATGCCCCCGACTGGCACCCGACGGCCCGAATGTCCGCTGATCGCACACCTGTGCCAACAGCCGCAGGGGCGGAGCCAGAGCTGCAAAACGTGACGGCCGCTAATGGGTGTATAGGGTTTGCTCGATTCTCGAGCCTTTCGAGCATTGGGTTTGAGGGTGGATCATATAAAACAGTGAAGCGGTTTGATATGAGTTGTAGCGGCCCGCAATGCAATATCATTTTTTGTCTTTCAGCTATTTCAGCTGTACTCCAATTACAGCTACGCCAGACAGAAAAAAGAAACGGATAGAGCTGAACTCCAGAGGCGCGCATGGGTTGTGCGGTGGGGAGCACGGGGAAGCGGTTGCGATTGCGGTTCCATGAGGGCGCTCCTCATGCGTCTCCAGTTTACCTCTCATGACACTGTCACAGGAATAAAATAATCTCGCACCACCAGAATCGAGTTTTCGATGAATAAATGTAGTGGCAAGTGACACGGGCGGCACAGTTCAACAGGGAGACGGTGGGGCCCGCTGCATCGCTCAATGCAAAGCTCGTAGTGCATCGTGTGCGACCTGCACGTCCATCAGATCCGGGCCAGCCGCTGGAGTCGCTCGATCCAATATCTTGATGCTATCGGCCGTAACCTCTCAACTGCCTGCGCCCAATGCCGGGACCTGCATTACAAGGCTGCGCGGTGCTCGCTGTGCGGTGAAGAACGGCCATCCCCCGGCACATCCTTCTCACGTGCCCGGGCCTGCTGCGTGTTCGTCTCAACATCCTGATTCCAACACCTGACAAGGTCTGGCGCAGTGACGTGGTGGCAGCCCTGGTGGCTACCTCCAGGGCCATCCAGAGCCACTGATGCTACCTACGATGCGGGACCCCCGCAAGGGAACAGCAACAACCCGCACCCGAATGTAGAAATTGGAAAATTTCCCCCAATTGAGCGCACCCAGGCTGAGCTGCCCTACTCTACTTGCTAAAGAAATGGTCATGCGTCCCCAAAATTTAGCCACTTTAACATAAAGCACATGTGCAAATCTACCGACCAAGGCTATACCAACCAGATAGTCGAGCATTCCGGGGTTGAGCGTCCGAATTAGTTGATGCTTCTATTGACACCCAATTCCACAATACGCGTAGCGCGCTGCAGCGTTGTGTCGTGAAACAAGGCTCGGGCCGGAAGTTTCAGGCCCAGAAAAACCGGCGGAGCGGTGTGTTCGAGTCTGGCGGGCGCCAGCGAGGGCCGGGTAATGGAACAGCAAGTGCTCCAGGACACCGCTTGTCGGGGACACCGACAACACCGCTGTCTGGGCACTGCGACGGCCGATTCGGAGTAGGTACTGGAGCGAACGGCCCCAATGGCCCGCCCTCATCTGATGCACCGAAACTGCATCCTCTCGGTCCTCTCCGGGGATGGGGGAGCTACAGCATACTCCCGAAGAGTGGCTTGAATGGTGACTCGGGCCAGTTAGCGCGCCATTGACGCTAGGCCACACAATGAACCGTCAGGGTCAACAAGCTGGCATCTGAGGGCATGAGTATGACGGCCTGTTTCGCCAGGTCATCCGCGCTACCTAAGTGGGATCAAATTGCATTAGTCAGGCCTGCAGTTCGCTTTGAGGTCCCTCTGTAGTCTGTGTGATATTGATATTGATAATCAGATCCGGTATCGGTAACCCTGGCGTCACCGGTAATGTTTTCGTGCAAGGCTAAGGTTTCCTGTATTAGGCCGCCGTGTGCCAAGCCAAAGCATGCTGTGACGTCACTGGGTAAGAGATGATAACGTAGGTACCACGCTATCAGTATCGACCGACTCAGAACGACTCAAACTGACTCAGACCGACTCAACCGACTCAAATCGATTCCGATCGACTCAGTAAGACTCAGAACTATTCAAACCGACTCAGGCAGACTCAAACTGACTCGACCAACTCAAACCGATTCAGGTCGACTCAGACAGACTCAGATAGACTCAGAACGACTCAAAATGACTCAGACCGACTCAACTAACTCAAATCGATTCCGATCGACTCAGACAGACTCAGAACGACTCAAACCGACTCAGGCAGACTCTCACTGACTCGACCGACTCAAACCGATTCAGATCGACTCAGACTCAAATCGATTCCGTTCGACTCAGACAGACTCGGAATGACTCAGCAGACTCAAACCGACTCAGGCACACTAAAACTGACTCGACCGACTCAAACCAATTCATATCGACTCAATCCGACTCAGCTAGACTCAGAACGACTCAACCTGACTCAGACCGAATCAACCGACTCAAATAGATTCTGATCGACTCAGACAGACTCAGACAGCGGTGACCTGAATCATCAGACCTGAATCAGTTTGAGTCAGTCGAGTCAGTTTGAGTGTGCTGAGTCAGTTTGAGTCTGCCTGAGTCTGTCTGAGTCTATCAGAATCAATTTGAGTCGGTTGACTCGGTCTGAGTCAGTTTGAGTCGTTCTGAGTCTATCTGAGTTGGTCTGAGTCGATCTGAGTCTATCTGAGTCTCAGTTGATACTGATAGCGTGGTAAGTTATCTTCTCTTACCCAGTGACGTAACAGCATGCTTCGGCTTGGCACGGTGGCCTAATACAGGAAACCTTAACTTTGAACAAAAATGCTACGGGTGACGCTAGGGTTACCGATACCTCAGATCCTGACCCGAAGCCCAGGTTGAGATCCATTCTAGCAATTCACTGGAACCGATATGCTACTATGTTATGAACCCATATGTTACTTACATCTTATCTTCATCCAGAATGAGGCTGTCATGTTCAAACATGGGTGCAATGTTTGGCAGCAGATTTGCTAATCAAATTACTGAAATTACTAGCAGAACCACCCCAAGGCCCACAACAACATACAATGCACACACCAGGGTATATTGAGTGCACACACGGCACACACTCCACAGAAACACACTGTTTTGTTGTTGCGGTTTTGAGTTCTTTTTTTCGCAAGGCAGAATGTGCAACAGCTAGCGAAAAGGCTAGAAAATCCAGCAAAAGTCACGGTACGAAATACGAATGAACCATCAATGAACTTTTAACTCACCTGTTTAACTCACCTGTTTGGTTTCCCTGCCCGGTCCAATGGAATTGGAAGGGGGAAGGAAACCGTGTATGGTAGAGACGCGCCAACGCCCCACGTTAGATGTTTCTTAGGAGAAGGACTCGTGGGGGTCGGAAAAGTGCGTCTGCATAGAAGCATGTATGAGTAGATGGGTCGTTTTGACAGTGAAGTGTGTGCACTGTGCAGTGTGGTTCTTCGCGGTCCAAGGGCTTGTCCTCGGGCAGGTACTTCATTTCTTCACGTCCTCAGGCGAGGTACTCATAGAGCCTGTCGCCAAGTATTCCTGCCAGGGATGACTTGAATTCCGCCAGAGAGTTCATCGTGACAGTCGAGTTGGGTAGTGCATTCCAGTCCTTCACGATCCTGTCCGTGAAGTACCGCTTTGTCGAGTCGAGCTGGCGCCTCTGGAACTTGATTTTGAGGGTGTTGCCACGTGTGCGACCGGCTGGAGCCATGTCCCATAGGTCCAACGGCTTGATAGGAGACAGGCCGTGGAAGATTTTCCAGGTCTTGATAAGGTCTGCACGGAGAAGTCTGCCTTTGATCGAGTATAAATCCAGTACCTTGAGACGCTCCTCGTATGTTTTGTGTTCTAGGCCTTTGATGTGACGTGTCCAGAGCCTCTGCACCGCTTCAAGCCGTCGGACGTCTTCAATGTAGCCTGTGTTCCAGACTGTCGAGGCGTACTCAATGATGGGGCGAATATGTGTCACAAAGACGTGCGTCATGAAGTCGCGCTCCCTGCACAGTGTCGATTTCAAGAAGTTGTGAGCTATGCCTCCAGCCTTCCTAGCAGCGACTCTTGCGTGCTCGTGAAACTTAAGATCGTCATCGATCGTGACACCAAGATCCAAATGGGAACGAGCCCATCGAACTACTGATCCATCGAGGTGATACTCTGGTCTCGTTAACGTGTGGAACCTGCGCTGGAATCTCATGACCGCACACTTCTTTTGATTTAGGCTCAGACCCCAGGATGCTGCGGTCTCTTGAAGGAGATCTATATCTTCCTGGAACTTGGTTGCATGGGACCCTGAGTCAGAGATGCACATGTAGACTTTCAAGTCATCTGCGAATATCTTGTAGGCGGCGTGTAGGCGGGACGCGACATGGTTGATAAAAATCAGAAAGAGGGCTGGTCCGAGTATGGACCCCTGCGGAACGCCGCTCTTCACCTCCATTGGTGAACTCAGTGAGTGTTTCACCACGACTTGCATGATGCGGCCGGTCAGAAAGTCCTGAATCCAAGTCAGGAGCTCGCCACGAATCCCAATGCAGCGCAGTTTTTGAAGGAGTATCGAATGACACACCATGTCGAAAGCCTTAGAAAAGTCATACAGGATTAAATCAATTACATGCCCACTGTCTCTCTGCTTACAGATGAAATCGTACGTGAGGAGAAGTTGATCCTCGGTGGAGCGTCCGGGCCTGAATCCGAATTGCGCGTCATCAAGAACAGAGTTGTCCATCAGGTACGAGTGCAGTCTTTGAAAAATGAGCCGTTCAAGACATTTGGCGGGTACTGACAGGAGGCTAACGGGACGATAATTCAATGGGTCCGAGCGACAGCCTTTCTTGAATATTGGTACCACGTGTGAGAGTTTCCACATCAGCGGCAAGGAGCCCGTTGACAATGTTCGACAGAAGATGAGGTACAGTGGGTATGACAAGGTCGAACAACACGCCTTCAATAGTTGTGGATGGAAGGCGTCTGGGCCCATTGCTGAGTTGGGATCCAGATGGCGAAGAACTGCTTCAACATCAGCTTGAGTGAAAGCGATTTCTGCCAGCACAGAGTCGCAGAGCTGATGAGTGAAGGGGTTTCGCGGAACCTCAGACGAGAAAACGCTTGCGAAAGCGTTCACGAAGATATCCGCCATCGAGCTCGGGTCGTCTGTGATTGCTCCAGAGGGAGCCTTCAGAGGACCTGCCGAAGAACGGTACTGCTTCTTGTGGCGCAGGTAAGAGTGCAGGAGCTTCGGGCTGTCTTTCATTTTACTCACCAGTGACTTCTCATAGTCGATTTGAGAGCGCGAGGCAAAGCTGCGTAGCTCCTTGTTCACTTCTTGGAATGAAGTAAGTAAAGACTTGGTGATTGCTGCTCTCCTGCCGTAGTTTTCTCTGGCTTTCTTGTAGGCCGCCCATGCCGATGACCGTTTTTGCTTGAGTGAGCTTGGGGGGTTTCTCTTCCAAGGCAGCTTCTTGGACTGGGAACCTTGTTTCCTGGTGGGAACATACCTCTTGATCAACGAAGTCACTATTCCCAGCAGATGCTCAAATGCCTGTTGGGCTGATAAATACCGAAGTTCTACCTCCCAATCAACATCGGCGAGGGCACTGTTTATTTTATCATACTTTCCTCTATGCCAAGCCAGGAGAGGGGCCGGACAGGTGGGTCGTTCCTGCAAGTCGATGTCGAAGATATAGCGACAGAGAATGGTGCAGTGGTCACTTCCGGGAGGTGGAGGGAGAACCGAAACTTCTCCAATTCTGTCCTGCTCGGTGGTGAAGATGAGATCCAGTATATTACCAGAGCGGGGGAAAGTAGCCTCGGTGATCCACTGCGTCATGCCAAGTGATGTTGTTTGACTCAAGTTTGACTCATATTTATATTTTTTGACTGATTCTGTTTGTGCTTGTTGAGGTTTGGCTGCGTGGAATCATTTAAGAAAATTATTTTCTTATTGAGACTTTTTGAAAAGCTGCAAATGAGACAAAAAGTTCTTAAAACTTCCCTAGTTTCTACATTCCTTGATCTGCAGAAATAAGTAAGTATTCAGAATGGAATTGTTATGATTTATTATTGATTTTTTAGTTAAATGGCTTTGTATTTATTAATGAGTACAACATTTCTATATATACCGTGAGTACAGGCTAATCTAGCACCCTTGCCAATGCCAGCATACAGGGTTTTATCGATGATATGGACTAATTGTAATGGATTTCAATTTCAATGTCAAAAGGCACCTACCTACCTACATACTTACCCAGGTCCCTTTGAAACCATTTATCTAATTATTGTCACAGTCATGACTGCATGCCTCTACAGTCTACCTGGACCCTATTGCTTAGTAGGAGTCATCATGCATGACGTGAATTGTGAGTTGGAAATCATGTCAGTCATGTCATGCAGCACTCTTTATGCCCTTCACCCCCGAGGGTCACGTGGGAGCTGTTCAAGTGTCTGCAGCCGCTGCACCTGCAGCTCCCATGTTCATAAAGGTGGGGCTTAGGTAATGGCCAATCAGGCAAGACACAGTTCTTGCCGTCCTGGTTGGCTGCTAGCTGAGCCCCACCTTTTTTATCACGGGAGTTGCAGCAGCCACAGACACTTAAACAGAGCAGTGGTGACTGGTGCTTATTACGGTGGCACTCCTTCAACTGAAGCAAATTTGGATGCATTAGATTTGGATGTTAATCTTGCATCATCATGCAAAAGGTAAAAAAAAGCCAAGTGGAAATGTGCATGCTGATGGCCTATAACTGACCAGCATCATCTTCTTCCCCAGGTTGCTGTAATGGCCAGCACCAAACACTCTGAAACAGAAGTCCTCATTAGTATGGGGCAGGAAAGATCTAATGTGGCCACTACAAGCAGCAAGCAAGATGGCAACAGGGTGTCATGCCCAAAAGGTTCTGATCCCACTATCTCAGTCCAACACACAGACATCACTTCAGTTGCCCGTGGTGTTTTCCTATGTGTGTTGTGCTCAGAGTCATTTACTGACGGCCTAGCTCTGGCAGTACATGAGCGCAGCCACGGCCAAAGCCCAGCATTGCGCTGTACTGTCTGCGATCGTTCCTTCTCACTGCCAGGAGATCTACACCGGCACAGAAGACGTCACGAGAGACGTGGTGGGATTGCAGCTAATCGTTCTGAGGCAATTGACAATGATCACGTACCGGTACCTCTCCGAAGCAATGAACAGGGCACGCAGACCACGAAGGTAGCGGAGAAAAGCAGCATAACTCAGGTGTCAGTGGTATGCAGCGCGGATGCCAGCGATGTTTCTGCGGGTATTTTGAGCACCGGGACAGCTGGAGCACGTACTGTCGGGAACCGACCATCGGAGGACAAGCGATGCACCAGCGAGAGCGTTAGAGCGGGAAGTTTGACGCCACCGAAGAATAAACATACGAAGCTGATGGAGAAAAGCCGGCGATTGTCTGAGGTTTCTCGTGCCTCAGCTTCGGACATTGATATGCAAGAAGGAATGAGTGGTAACAGCACTGTCAGTGGTACCATTGAGTCTTCAGAGGCGACTAGCGACGCCCTCGAATCTCCTTTTCAGTGTGCCATCTGCCGTGCCCGCTTCGGCCACGTGTCCTCTCTGCAAAAGCATGTCGAAGGTCATGTACAGACCGAAAGCCGCCAAACTGTGAAGAAAGCACCTCCACGCCGCAGCCAGAGAAGTCGTCCTGCTAAAAGACGTGCATGTGCCGATGAAAGCATAGGTAAAGATATTGATCTTGGGAGCGATGATGCAGGAAGTGGTGTAAGAAATGATGGTGACGTCGGCGTAAAGTCTTCGGATAACCCTCCCGTGGCGAAAAAGCGAACATGTCGTGGTCGCAAGGACCCAGGTCAAGCCGCCATGTCACGATCGTTGAAGGATGGTTCCAAGGCGGGCGCACAGGCAGCGCTATCTTCTACCGCTGAGGCCGGCTCAGTAAGTAACCCCGAGTCGGGCACCAGTGCCAACCTGGAACTTGCCACTTCCACCCCCGAGATACAGGCAGCTGGTTTGCCAGCACAGAACTCAAAGGAAGACGCCTCTTCTGCCCAACCAGCCATCGAACAGAGTACTGCTACCAAGTTCTTACAACCAAGCCCCCGTCGTCGCACTTCTCGTGCCATAATACCGTTAGTGATGGATGAGGAAAGTTATGTGGACGACGCTCCTGCTGTGTCCCCCAGAACTCAACCACCTTCAGCGCTCAGCGGCACAAAGCTGGGAGCGCCACCAGGCGCCTCAAATGGTGGGGTAGACGAAGCCGCGCCGTTGTCGACTCTTACGCCACTATCGACACCTCCCCCGATGGTTGAGTCGACGGAGGGTTCGGCGGTGGAAGGCCAGGAAGCCACCACGTCGAGTGAAGCAGAGGCCGTTGCTCCGGTTAAGTGTCCAGAAGTACCCGGGCAATTCAAGTGCGACGTGTGTGGGCGTCGACTGGCCCACCGTCACGCGCTTGCTCGCCATAGGCGACTGCACTTCGCTCGCGAGAACTTCCAGTGCGATAAGTGTCCACGTCGCTACTCACGATTCGATTCACTGGTTACGCACAGTCGGAAGCACGCGACTGAAGCGACACACAAATGTCAAATCTGTTCTAAGGCGTATCGGTTGCGCTCTCTTCTCGAGTACCACCAGCGGGAGCATAAGAATGAAGATGTCCCTCCTGCACCGGTTGCAGAGACACCTCGTTTCGAGTGTGCAGAGTGTGGTAAAACGTTTTCGTTCATGACAGCGCTGCGGCGGCACGCACGTCTGCATCTTGGTACTAAACACTTCTTCTGCGAACTTTGTCCAAAGCGGTACAGTAGGTTCGATGCTCTCGTGCTTCATGCTCGAGCTCACTCCCTACTCACCCCTTTCGAGTGCGTGATATGTGCGCGATCTTTTTCACAGCGCCAGATTCTTGAGTACCACGTCAGGGCGCATGCGGGTGCTGTCGATGGCGCTTACCCACCGTTCAATTGCACTATGTGCGGGAGGTCGTTCCCCGATGTGGCTCAGCTACGCGAACATCGCTTGCGGCACTCAGCCACTCGTTCGTACCTGTGTGACATGTGTGGGAAGGCGTTCAAGTCTGCCAACAAACTTCGTCGTCATGTAATGACGCATACTGGCGAGCGACCGCTGACCTGCAAAGTGTGCGAACGTCGTTTTGTGGACAGCACGTCGCTGACTCAACACATGCGGATCCATTCAGGCGAACGACCTTTTCAGTGTCACGTATGTGGCAAAAGTTTCTCGCGTAACGTGACGTTAAAGATTCACGGGCGAACGCACAGTGGCGAGAGACCGTACCCTTGTGAGATATGTGGTCGAGCCTTCACCACGATAACCCAACTCCGGAGGCATGGACGCGTTCATAGCGGTGAGAGGCCTTACATCTGTACCGTCTGCGGTAGGGCTTTCTCACAAGCTACTCACAGGAAGGTACACATGCGCACTCACGCTCCGCGACCTGATGACGCAGTGGACGGGCAGCAACCTCTTCTGTGGCTGCAGCAGCCTCTTCCTGCGGCGTTACAGCAGCCTCAGCAGCAGCAAGAGCAACAACAGTCGCAGCAGCAGCAGCAGCAGCAGCAGCAGCAGCAGCAGCAGCAGCAGCAACAACAACAACAGACGCAGCAACAGCAGCAAGAGAAGCAACTTCACCATCAGCAGGAGAAACAACAACAGCTGACCGCGCCAGCCACTGGCCACCAACAACATCAACAATCTCAGGAACATAGCCAACTATATACGCTACATGAAGGGCTGCAGGCAGTGGCACCACTTCAACTTGAAGAGGGCAACGTGCCGCTGCACTTCCTCGAGCATTGATACACATATGTCCTTGTCAATGACGCTGTTTTGGGCGTGGACAAGCGTGTAAACTTTGAGCTTTCGCTTGTATGAAAGGCTGATCCGAAGAGGGGAAGGGGCATTTGGGGCAAGGCTCTTCTGTGGCGCCCGAAATCGAAATAAAAAATCTGCGTTTTCTCTAGAATAGAACGAAAACAACATTTTTATGAGCAAAAGTAAAAGTTTGCTTTAAACTGCTCAGCAGTGTGTAAAGAATCGAAATCCGGGAGATTTTTTAAAATTTGAGATTTTTTTGGGGGGAGGGGGCTTGCTCGCTGCCTCCCCCACAGCGTCCAAGACCGCCTTTCTGGATCTGCCAGTCGCTTGTAAGTTGTATGCGATAGTGTTCCTTGTGTGTTTGGTAGGTATATAGAGATCCGCTGTCGCCTATGACGCTGTTTCGGGGCGTTGAGAAACGTGCAGAGCGTGACGGTTTACTGGATGGCGAGTGTGTTGCTTGTGTACTTACGCTTTGTATATGAAGTTTTGATGGATGTCTCAATTATGGAGCGGTTGCTTTATTGACCACTGCCTGCGAGTGTACAACTGCCTGTGTATTGTATATTTACAATCTATGAAGTATAACAATACATATGTGAAGCCTCATATCCAATGGCTGGTGTTTGAGAAAGTGTTATACCTACATAACTATGTCAGTCATTGGGCTTACGATGATAGATTATATGTGCTGTTGCTTATTGTTGAAAAGCAGCGAGTTAGAAGGGTTATTATATTTAATGGAGTGGACGGATAAGCCTTTTCACGCCCGCATCGATAGCTCACTTATCCGCACAAAGATGAGCCCATGCACGAATGCACATTGGGCATTGCACACGTACACAGGCACAAAATTAGGTACTGAGCCAGCTTAACCCGCGACCGCCTGGGGGGGGGGGTCGGATCCGACCCCCCCCCCCCCCTCCGTTTTTCTTGAATAACTTATGAACCGCTTACGCTATCGACTTGAAACTTGGCATACCTTCTCCTCCATCAATTTGACGTCTCTTGTGCAATTTTGAAGAAAAAATTTCCAAAATTTTTTGAGATATATCGATTTTAGTGATGTAACTACATGGCGTTTTCAGTCAAAAAGTGGTAAATGTTTAAAAAATCGCCAAAAATCAGGGTTTAAAGCAAATTGCAAATTAAGGACATGAATAGATGCAGCTCAACGAGTTCTTCAAAATGGCTATCTCGGATTTTCCATAAAATGCGTTTTTCACCCCTTAAAATTCAAAAAACTATATTTTTTAAAAACATCTCATAAAATCCAAAATTTTGAGAATTTCCAAAAAACCGGAATATATGTTATAGAGCTCTATTAGAACATTAGATGTCCCAAATTTCAACTTTCTATCTTGATTTTTGACCCCCAAATTGTAAAAAATAGCTCCAACATGCATAGGACATGGTGACGTCATAAGCATTTTCGTGAATTAGAGGCACTTCTGAACATCGCATGTGAAAACAAATGGCACCACTAGATTCCTGGGACAAAGCTCGTCTAGAAAAGTGTATTTTTATGTCAAAAATAAAAAGTTGAAAAATTGACCTTTTTTCTTAGCCCTCTCTTAGTTATGGATGGTATAAACGATTTTTTATGCTTTCAATGCACACTTATCACCAAGCACAGTGACTTGGGGTCACATATAACCATTACCATCGGATTCGGCGTGAAAAATAAGCCATAAAACATGTGTCGCACGCCCATGTAGCAGAAAGTGAAAACCATGACCTTTCGTGACCTGACCTGACCTTGACCCGTACTTAGTATGATCCCTATACGCACATGGTACCTTCACTAGGCCTTTGAGGTCATTTTTGGTGAGTTTCGAGCAGCAGTCTCCATATCTTGGTGTTACTGTTGTGTGTACTGTTGCAGTCTCCATAACGTTATGTTACTCTTGTATGAACTATTGCAGTCTCCATACCGTGGTGTTACTGTTGTGTGAATTATTGCAGTCACCTTACCGTGGTGTTACTATTGTGTGAACTATTGCAGTCACCATACCGTTATGTTACTCTTGTATGAATTATTGCAGTCACCATACCGTTATGTTACTCTTGTATGAACTATTGCAGTCTCCATACCGTTGTGTTACTGTCGTGTGAACTATTGCAGTCTCTACACCGTGGTGTTACTGTTGTGTGAATTATTGCAGTCTCCATACCGTGATGTTACTGTTGTGTGAACTATTGCAGTCTCCGCACCCTAGCGTAACGGTCGTGTAAATTATCGCAGTCTTCGATCCACGCCGTGGTGTTACTGTTGTGTGCACTGGCGGATCCAGGGGGGGCACGGGGGCCATGCCCCCCTCCAAAGGCCTAAAGTGGCCTGTTTGCCCCCCCCCCCCAAAACGTCAGAAAAATTGCTCAGAAAATATACCTTGATGGAGGTTTTTAGCCACTTGGTGAAGTAAAGCTTTCCATAGCATAATATGGAAGCAATATGGTAGCAGTGAGGGCCAGTCAAAAGTTGCGCGAGTGGAGTCGACCTTCAAAAAAGACTGTTGTTGGTACGTGTTTATGGCGCGGTAGCTGGGAGTTGGCGGTGTTTCGCGTGGTGTGGCATCACTGGCGGATCCGAGGGGGGGGGGGGGGGCACGGGAGCCTGAGGTGACCCTGACAGGCCCGTGGTGCCCTTGCTAGGTCTGTGGTGCCCCTGGACCCTGGCAGGCCTGTGGTGCCTCTGGCGGGCCTAGGATGCCCCTGCTAGGCTGCTGATGCCCCTGGGACCTGACAGGACTGTGGCGCCCCTGACAAGCCTAAAGTGCCCCCAACAGGCCCGTGATGCCCCCGACAGGCCCAAGGTGCCCCTGCGTGATGCTGTGATGCCTGAGAGGCCGGTGGTGCCCCTACGAGGCCGGTGGGGCCCCTGACAGGCCCATGGTGCCCCTGCGAGGCCGGTGGTGCCCCTGCTAGACCGGTGGTGCCCCTGGCAGGCCTGTGGTGCCCCTGCTAGGCCGCTGGTGCCCCTGGGCCCTGACAGGACTGTGGTGCCCCTGACAGGTCCAAGGTGCCCCTGCAAGGCCGGTGGTGCCCCTGTAAGGCCTGTGGTACAGGGACCCGCAGTTGCTTCTGTACACACTAGTATTTCAGCGTATTCTTTGCCTGTGACACCGTTGGAGGCGAATTGGGAAATTATTGTGTGCTTATTAAAACCACCATCTGAAGGGCTTTAAAATGATGTGCTGCTCTCCTAATTCAGTGAACTTTTAATGGCTATATCAGCAAAACATTGTTTTCAGCGCTTTTTCCTGCCCCATTCCTTCTGAAACCTGGAACCGCTTATTCCATTTACTCCTGCCATCTGACGATGGTCGTGCTGACTACTAGTTCCGGCGCTAGTTACTGCTCCAGTTTTGCACCCGGCACAAACTCAGGCGGCACCGGGCCGTGGCTCGACCAGGGGAGGGTCGGACCGAGCCGACTGCCTGGGGCGCGGTTAGATCGGACGCCCTGCTGGGGAAGGGGACGGGAGTGAGGGGGAGGGGAGGAGGTGGTCACGTGGTCCGTCCAAGCTCGCAGACGGCCTGTCCTGCGCCCAGCCATGTTCCGTGATCCAAAATGGCACGAGAGCTGTGGAATGCCTGGAGGAGACGCTTCGAAAGCGAACTTCAGCAGCACTAATTTACCATATTCTGTGGAGATAAATGAATATTATCTTAATGCAGAAAAAATGTATGCCCAAGCTGTATAGGCTGTATCTTTTTAAAAGTTGTAAATAGGATTATTCTTAGTGACAATTATAGGTTTCGTATACACAGTGAATTGTGTTACATTGAGCCGTTTCGCTGTTACGGTTACTAACTGAAGAGTTATCCTTTTTCTCACAGGGAATGACAATACAATAACAATACGAATAAAACCAGACGTTTCGCACAAAAAAGTGCCTCCGTCAGTGGCAAGAAATAAGTAATTAGGCGTACATGTTTTCTTTCGCTAAAATCGATGAAGTAGTTATCTTTATTTTTTAAATCTTTTTAGCAGTCTTTTAAGCGCATCATGGAAGCTTATAAACATTTGTGTATTTTATCGGCAACCCGGCTGGCCAGACCGAGACGGTGCCGCATATAGTTCTCATCGATGTTAAACCTATACACTTATTTTTCTCCAATATTGTCATTGTCCGTGAGAAAAACATACTCTTATGGACTGGTCTCAGTTCATGTAGAAATTGTTGCATATTCATCAACACAGATAAAATGAATATTAGCCCTCACCACACATATAAGTAGATGTAAGTAGACCGCGCCCCCTGTTTTTCACCAATAAATCGCAGCAAAGCGAAGGATTGCGACGATTCTTTGGTGCCCTGGAGTTAATCAATTTTACAACTTTCCAGACAATTAAATAGCCCTTATTATTTGTCCATCTTGTCTGAGAATTTTAAATCTTTGAACCAAATTACCTTTAACCCTCGCCCGTAAACGGTGTTTTGCCACCTTCGCCCATGCAGGGGGGGGGTGGTGGTGCGACCCCCCCTGGCGTTTGAAAATGGAGCGTCGTAGAGCTTAGCGGAAAAGACCAACGGATTGCTCTCAACGAGATCTCGCGATTGGTGGTATATTTTTTGGTCCTAAGTCAACATTTGACCTACTTATGACCGGTCAAAGGTCAAGAAGCGGCTCAAGATTAAGGAGCTATGAGACACTTAATAAAAAACGGCATAGATTAGAAACTGCACCTAACTTGCACTGATTTTTAAACCTTTTCGTTGCAGACTGGTAGATTAAATTTTAGGATTGATTTCAGCTGATGCTCAAATGGAGCTATTCATTCGTTCATTCATGCGACCATCCAATTCCATTCATAAAAGAAGCCAGTGACAAAATTGTTCATTTTAGATAAGTGTGAAATACAAACTCAATAAAAGTTTAATGATACGGCAAATTTGACAGCTTTTATAATGAACAGACAAAAAACTTTAACAAATCAAAGTTGAGAGCCCCAAATAGGGGAGAGTGAGGTAAGATGAGCCAAGGGGCAAGTTTAGCCACCCCATGTTTCTCAGCTCCTATGGCGCTAATTGACTTGAGCTTCCATGTGCCGTTTGCTTACGATGTTCACGTCTTTCACGTCTTTCACGTGAGACGGCAACGTTCTCGCGCTCAGCCCCGGTAACATGTGGTATCACCCCTAATAACTAAGACATGTTTTGCCTTTAAAATGAGATGGTTGTTATCTGCGGTGCATGGTTATTTTCCTTAGCAGGTGTCAGCCATTAATCGAAAATGACCACGGGTGGGGTAAGATGAGCCATTTTCACCTGGGGTAAGATGAGCCGGATAAGCCATTGTTGTCTCCGCTATCGAAAACCAAACTGAGCTGCGCTTGTTTCTGCTGAATAAAAATGGTAGGAAATTGTTTTTTCTTTGTTGATTACACAAGTTGTAAGTGATTTGCAGATTATCTGAAGGATAATATGATTTCTTCCTTGATAGAAAACTTGACGAGTTATTGGAAGGCTTTAAACAGTTACTTTTTGATGGAGGAAAAAACGTTGCCATAAGTATGTATGCCATGGAGTAAATAAAAGAGCCCACTCTTCGCGGCACCCGGGAAAAGAAGAGGTTCGCTTTTTCTATCCATGCTCAACTTTCCCCA